GACGTAGTGCAATTTGGTGTTTTGATTATTTCAGATTGAGAAATGTACGCTATACGAGAAATTTCGCCGTTCGCAGTGTAGATCGCGATTCAAAATGTGGCGGTAGCCAAGGGATTAAAGAATTAATAAATTTCTCTCGACTCCCGACTCTTAACAACGAAATTATTTCGAAACGTCAATGATCAATAAAATGGTTCTCGCGAGTTATGTTAATTTCGCACGAAGCTCGCTCGACTTGAGGGACGTGTATAAAACGTTTATTCAAAAAACGGTGGCGTACGGTTTATTCGAAAACGCAAACGGGGGAGGGATGTAGAAACGCGTAAGAGTTGAATTTACGATCGTTCGTTAGAATCAGTTTCAATAATTCGTCGGGGCGGCGCTTCCCAACCGTTGTAGCTCGCCATAATTGCCAGCGCGGAGCTCGTGGACGCCGCCAGAGAAAACTTTTTGGATCTTGATAGCGCATAAGTAAGGGGCCGCGATAGAATCTTTATACGTCGCGCCCTAAAAACGCGCCATATTGCTTGTTTTATACGGCAGAAGGAACGTTTTATCGCGAGATCCTCCGCTCGATACGCGACATCTTTTGCGAGCGTGTCGGGAATGAAAAAACCGCCGAGGGGAGAAAATGCCTCCCGTGTATGCGGTGACTCGGATCCGTCCAAAAATTAAACCGTGCCCTCGTGCACCGTGATTGTTTACGCGTTACGAAGGTTTGGAACATTTCACGAAGGCTAATTTTCTGTTGTTTTTTTTTTTTTTTTCTTTCTTCTTCACTTTTCAATTCAAGTATTTTTTGGAATATCCAGAAATTACAACGCGTGCGACGAAATTTTTTTAACTCGCCGATTATTCATAACAGCTCTTTTTTTATATCAGTCATAATCATATCAATATCTTCATATCGCAACAACTATTCATGTCAATTTTCTTACATCAGTCACAATTTAGGGAAAAAAATCAAACAGTGAGTAGCTGCTTATCGTTGCAATTTCACTCAACTTTATATTATTCCAGGTGCGCAAATGCTTCTGCAACACCTTGCTAAACACGATTCTACACATTCCGTCGATTGTAAACCAGTCATTCGTCATCTTAAATTCGCTTGCGTCAAAAGGAAGTACTCTCACGCAAAAATTAATCTTCTTTGCGTTGCCTCAAGAAATTACTTTCACTCTTGCACGTGTGTCACGCTACTTACGTGCCTATTTATGCATATACCCTACGTGTATGCCTTGTAATATGCGTTTTAATCTCTTTTTCTTTTTTTTTTTTTTTTTTTACTCGGGAGCTTAAATTACACGCACGTTGAATATTTCCAGAGTATGTAGGTAAAAGACACTGCGTAATATAAATGACGAAGTATAGTGGGTTAAGAAAATATTGGCACACTTGGATTATCTGATATAAGTAAAATCTGCTTTCGTAAATGGTAACAAAAGCAACGTGCGCACTAGCAATTTCCAATGATGAGTTATACAGTAATAAAAAAAATATGAAATGATAGTTTCGTAATAAAGAAATATATAAAAACTATATAATAAAAAAACTATATAATAAATAATAAAAACTATATAATAAAAATAATAAAGAAATGTAAAAATTCGAAAGTCAGCGAAGAACAGACCTACAACATTCCAGTGCTTAAACTTGAATGTTATTAGAAAAATTACGAAATATCCTTTTGTAAATACTGGAACGTTATCGAATGATATCGCGTCAATATTATGAAAGGACGCTATATTTTACATTCTGCCCAAACGCATGGCAGAGCTGCAAAAGAAAACCCTCATGTATCAATGTCTCTTTGGCTCTCGAATTTTTATGTCTGTTATTAGGAAAGGATGCTTGTCTTTAAATGATTAAAAATATCCTATATTCTAATCAAATACATAACAAAGCTGTGGAAAGGAAACTCTCATTTGTCAATTTGTATCCTTTTGATTTTTGAATTTTCATATTACTTCTACCATTATTGTATAACTCCGTGTTGGAAATTGCCACTGTGCACGTTACTCTTGTCCGCGGTAAAACCATTTATAGATTTCGTCAATTTTATTTTTGTTTTCGCGAAGATATCGCAAGGAAACTAGTGCCAACGCTTTTTAGATCCACTGTGTACAGTCGGTGTAAATTCAAACGACGCGGTCGTAAATATCAGAGTGTTTTAGCGAGACTCGAAGACCCGGCGACTGTCTCACGTAGAAGTAGACACGGTTATTTGCACGACCATACGTCTCAACCTCTATCTAATCTCGCGAAACATCCTCGATCGATGGACGGCGCACCCACCTCTCGCTTTGCTCCGCTGTCTTCAACTCTCCGCGTTCTTCCTCTCCATTTTTTTCTCTCCTTGGCTCTCTTTCCTCTTCATTTGAAATGAAAACACACGCAACTCAACGAAGAATATTTCCTGGCCTCGCCACTACGTAGCAGCTTATCGACATCGCCGGTCATATTAATTTTCACTTTGCATACGAATCGGTAGCAGGAGGAATTCCTTTATACGTAACATGTTAAATATAGGGAGCTACCCCCTCTTTCGAACGCAAACACGATGACGTTTTAATTAGTTTTGTCTCGGTAACAACGATTGTTCCATCGCAAGTAAGAATTATCTAGACAAAATACTTCGAAGATCAAGCCACTTTTGGCGATGCTTGAACGAAAAAAGGATCAAAGGATCACTTGACTAACTGTTTCTTAAATAACAATAATCTAATCATCTGACGAAAATTTATGACGCATAAGTTTGCTATCTTTTCCTCTTTCTTTTACGAGAATTGCTAAGTAGCTTTGTTTAATGATTTTCCTGTATGATAACGAAACGAATGTTGAAATACGATTTTCCGAAACGCGTTTTGGAAATTATCGGTGATCTAGCAAAAATTTATCGCGCATAAATCTCCTGTCGCTAAGTAGTTTCGTTCGATGATTTTTCTGTAAGATAATGAAACGAATGTTCAAACATTGTTTTCCAAATAACTCGTGATTATTTCCGATGATCTAACGAAACATTCATGACGCATAAATCCGTTGCTATCTTTCGTTTTTCTTGCGAGAATCGCTAAGTAGCTTCGTTTAACGATTCTCCTGTGAGATAATGAAACGATTGTTCAAATATTTGGACGATAATTCGCGCGTGTTTTTATGTGGCCGTGTGTGCGCGTGTGTGTGCGTGTGTGTCTATGATACATTTAACCTCGTATTTCGACTGGTTTAATTAAATTTGCCAGCGCAAACGCGGCATGAAAGTGGCTGAAAAAAAGTGAATTGTTAATATATTTCTAATTTGAAAAATGACGTTATTTTGCAAATTTAATATCATCCCATCAATGCGAAATTGAAAAAAAAAAAAAAAATCATGAGAACCCGACAACGTATTATTTTTCGATACATATGCAATAACATTTTCTGATATTTACGCGGGCCAATTGCAAATTTTATTTCGATTAAAGTAAATTCGAATTTCTAGAAAAATCTCCTTCTCCGACACGGAACGCGATGCGATAAAAAAATCCTGAGAAGAAGTAGGAGCGAGAGGTTGTTCTTTCATCGAAAGAAAAAAAAAAAAAAAAAAAAAACGAAATTGGATTTACAGCGAGAACGAAAAATAATTACGGTCCATTTACCTTTCATTCGTGCAATAATGTACCGCTAAAACCGATTAAACGAAAATGTCCGTGAAAAATTCGCGTTCACGCGCGTTAAAATATGCACGGCAAATTTGATCGCACGTAGTGTTTTATAAGTATGATGTACAAGTTTAACAGGGTTTTTTCTCCCTCTTTCTCTCTCTCTCTCTCTCTCTCTCTCTCCGTAATTTGAAATATTACAATTGATCGCAATAACGAAATAACGTGCGCATCGCGACGAAGAGGCAGATGTAGAATTCCTTCGAACGATGAATTCCTCCGCCATTGTAAATCGAGACCGGGTCCCCGTGTAAACGTTAATGATGCATTGACTCAGCGGCGAGGGTCGATATTAAGGTGATTCACGGTGTTCTAACGGTTAGCCGCGTTGAATAACGACGATTCGCAATCGGCGCGACGCAAAGCGATCGATGTTTCTACGTGACTCGTACCTTCTCGCCGCTCCTTCACATCGAAATCGAGTTAGCATCACAACTGCGGATCGATGCGGAGCATTTTAACACGATTAAAAACCGTTGGCCGGTTCAACGACCCGAAGTTTATTCGTTTCGTTAATTAGCGAGGATCAATGATGGTTCGTTTGACCACTGAAGGCAAAGGGTATTTGCGAGTCTTCGCTCGCCCCCCTCTCCGACGAAGCTTGCCTCGGTTAATACCACGAAACGGCTTAATCGGCTTCCACCGGGAAGATTATTTACTCGTTAAGAGAGAGATAGAGAATAGTTGCTTTATTATCGAGCGCTATCGGCCGGTTGTATCTACGGTATCTCTCGCAATTTCGCTACGTCGTAACCGATCGCTGGCCTATTACCCCCCTCTGCCCTCCTCCCCGTAGCTTTCATGGTGGCTTTTTGTCCTCCTCTCGCGCAACTCGCGCCGTGGCGAAGTAAAAGGCGGCGGAGCACACCGTTCGAAAAACTAATTTTTACCCCGTGCCGGCTGGTTACCATTAAATTACCGATCTGATCGACGCCCCTCGTTCCGGGTCGGCCATCCCACCGGCGGACACACATCCCATAGGAAAGGAAAAAAAGCCCGCGCTTTCCCGCGGTGAGTTAACGCGGTTATCGTACGTTTCTGCGCCAGCTTTCGCTGAAATTTCATTTCGACCGGTATCGTTTGGTAAACGCGCTCGGATCTGATTTAACTGGCTATCTCGAACGAGGAACGGCCTGGATCGCACGCGCTTTATGGGGAAACGTTTCGTTTTCGACGGAGTGGGAAGGGGAATTGTGCTCGACCTGAACGAAACTGAACGTGAGCTGAATACCGTTGACTCGTTCCTGCCGAATTTTCCCTTAAGCCTTCCGTCCATTTGAGAGTTTCTCGCGAGAGTCATTCTCGAGAGTACTCTGAAGCGTTGTGTCCATTTGAGAGCAGCTTTGAGAATTTTCCGAGAGTGAAACCAAAACCTACTCTCCGAGAGGTTACTATCCGATAGAACTCTCAGAACTGTGGTGTTTATTTCGAAACACAAGTGTGAACAGTGACATTGCTATCATGGAGGTGCAAAAAATGTGTGCCCTCATAGTTGGCCCCATAATATTTTAAGAGAAAAGAAAAGTTAAATAATTTAAATTATTATATAATATTTAATTATATAATATTTATATTTACACTTATATGTAATAATATTTATATGTAATATTTAAATTATTATATAATGTATAATATTATTTACACTTATATGTAATAATATTTCTTATATAATATTTAAATTATTATTATATTGTATAATATTATATAATATAATTATTATATAATAATTTAAATTAAAAGAAATTAGTTCAATAATTTCACTTTTTCACCACACTTTTCTTATTATTCATTATTCTGCTCGCACGAGAGTACTCTCAGCATTTCGAAACCGTTTCGAATTCTGAGAGCAAGTATAATATTGTGTCCATTTGCAATCAGGTCGCGACAAATCGACTCTCAGACATTTGAGCGATGCTTTCGAACAGTAACTCTCAGAACAGTTATCCATTTGCGAGAAATACTCTCGGGAGCAACTCGCGACAGTTACTTACTCTCCAGTGGACACCTAGCTTTACGACGTACTTACGCGTTCGACGTACGACAATATTGGCGATGAACAAGATGCTGGCGAAACAAGCCTCACCTTCTTGTTTCGTTCTCTCTCTCTCTCTCTCTTTCTCTCTGAGAAGAACAGGAAGAGGAAGACACACGTAAAAGTGAAAGAAAAAAGGGGATAGGAGGAGTTCATCCGGAGCAGCCGAGCGGAAAATAGCTAATATCCTAAGACATGAGCGACATCGTGCTGGAGGATGAGCCTCGGCCTCGGGTATAGTCTGTGTATTTTGGAGAACGAGACGACTCTCTTTGCTATTTATTCCGAAAGGCAGAGGCCGAAATTCGCCGGCAACGGGAGGGGGGACAACTTCGTCCCGCTCGGCGCGCTTCCGGCGGACGTTTCCATTGGATTCTACGGTGAAACTCGAACAAGATCCTTTCCGTCGGCGAAGCACGGAATGACTATTGGAAATTTATGTAACACGCGCGCGGTATACAGGGTGTCCCATCCACGAAGCTATCCACGCGATTTTCTCTTCAAACTCATTCGCCATATTCGAGAACTCGTTATTTCAAAGAGGCCATCTCTAAGTTGCCATAAATCTTGTCTAAAGAAGTGGTCATACCGAGATTTCAAGGTGACCTTTGTTTTTTTTAAATAGAACTGTACACTTTTTGACTCCGCGGTATTGTAGCTGACATCGAAATGAATTTAGCGATCTAGGTGATGTTGGTGTTCCAAGGTCATTCAGCTAGCGAATTCGCCTCGACTCGTTTAAAAAAATAAAGGCCACCTTGAAATCTCGATAAGCCTGACCATCTAGATAAGATTTATGGTTACTGCAAGATGTTCGGAAATTTTCATTGGAAAACATTGTAATACAATGCGAACATTGAAACCAATACTTCAATAAGTATGGTTATACATAAAAATTATGCGTAAAAATATGAATGTACGACCACCGTACTTAGGTCCATGCAAAGTTAAACAAAGACCGGACGATCGAAGATTTATTACAATTGTTAATGGAGAAGAAGACACTGTTTCAACAAAAAGATTAAAATCAAGCATTTAGCAAAATTGAGTCGGAAATGGAAGATAATCAAAGGCCAGATATAAACAACATCCAACAAACACGAATGCAGTAAAACTTATACGGATGAAAAGAGAATTATTCGCTCCAAATATTAATTTCAGATAAATAAATTGGAAAGTACTGTGGCCGTACGCGTATTTTTAAACACGCGAGTTTAACAGCGACATTTGATTGCAAATGAAGAAGGGAAAAAATGAAATAGCAAAAAGTATGTTGTACTCTCAGTTGTTGGGAATCAACCAAAGATGAAATAACGTTGATCGTGAAATAAATATGCGAAAGCTCGTGCTCAACGCGATGTGATTGTATTATTTTTGTTTAGTGTGTAGGAAATTGAAAGCTGTACATTGCCAACCGTTCGCATCGTGAACCATAAATATACAGGGTGTTTCGTAACTTGTGGGACCCACTTCGGTAGCTGATTGTACGTCTAAAAATAATGGAAAAAGTCATATAAATATATGTCCTATCTGTCTTCGTTTATAAGATATAATGAATTTTCTGTTTTAATTACTTTTTACAAAAGATGCTTCAAATGACCACCTTGCATTTGAAGACAAGCCTGCACGCGTCTTGTCATTCATCTGGTTACTCTCTCTATCATTCCTGGTGTTTCTCGAATTTATCAGAAGCCTTGCTCTATTCTATTCCATAGTATTTCAGCATGTTCAATCGATGTTGCGTATACAATAGATTTTAAATGTCCTCACAAATGAAAATCTAATGGATTCAA